CAACTCTTCATTTTCTCTCCTTGCATGTGTATTTGTGAGACCAAACTGAAAAGTGTTCATACTAGAGTTAAATATCTCAAACCCTAACTAGAGTTCAAGTCTAATTACGGTTTGACTAACTACAGTTAACAAGACGCGTACTAACCTTACAAGCTTTTCCTTCATCCAAGTCTTGGAGAAGGAAGTTTATATAATACGTATATAGTTTCAGCAGGAAGTTTTAGAAAGTAAAACTAAATCATAGCTTTCTCCCTATGAACAAGGATTAACTAGAATTATGACGTAAGTAACAACATGTCAAAATGAAACTAGATACATAAAAATTATATGTTATCATCAAATGCTTAAGATATCTAAGTATCCACTTCACTGCTTCTCAAAGCATTTTGCTTGGATTTAACATATACCTGATCATCTTATCTACGGCAAAGGCTAAATAAGATCATGTGCATATCATCAAATACATGAGACTACCGAATGCACTCTCATAAGGAATAGAAGAGATCAAGCATCTGTACAACAATGCGCTCGTGAAAGTAAAAAATGAGCAGCCAATGGACTATTCACAAGTTTAGCTTTTGCCATGTTGAACTTGGGCAAGCAACTTTTTTACGTACTTTTATTGAAATAATCAAAGCTTCTCCGCCTTCCAATTTCTAAATAATTCCATGTCAAGAATCTCTGAAATAGACCTAAATACTTCATGCTGAAAGTTGAACTCAACTCAACCTTCAACTTATCAACTTATCAACATCAGATCTTCTAGGACCTGCCATAAGCATGTCATCAACGTACAAGACAAAATTGATAAGCCCATATATCGCATCAAGAATTTTCTTCAAGTAAACACAAGGATCATATACGCTAAGTAAGAATCCTTGTGAGTGCATGAAGTCATTGAAGCGTTTATTTCACTATCTAGGACTTTTCTTCAAACCGTATAACGATTTAAGCAATCTACATACCATGACTTTCTTCCCTTTCATGAAAAAACCTTGCGCTTGCCGCATGAATATCACCTCATTGAATGGTCCATATAAAAAAGCTATGACAACATCCATATGATCAAACACCAGATCATATAGAATCACAAGAGCACATAGCAAACGTATTGTAGAGTACTTTGCTATAGGTGCAAAACTACAGATCCAAACATTGTCATTGAAATTTGCGTCACTGTTAAAAAATTGTTACCGTAAACATCATTGTCAAACTTCTGTCCGATCTTCTCAGAAAAGTTTGTCTTTGATTTGAGACAAGAGAAAATTGCTAGACACATTGTCACAAACCACAGCTTTAATTACCATTTGTTTGTCTGAAACACACAAGATAATTGTAATCATACGATACGACAAATAGATAGGCAAACACTAAATCCAAACAATGCTAATCAAAAAGTATACACGGATAAGAGGTAATGTGATTCATCTTTCGGAGTACTACATCCAATGGAAAAGCTCACAATATTCAGTACACACATTCTAGAGTTAAATATCCAAGCAATGGTGATATTTCTAGCCATAAATAGTTATGATCTAAGGATACTTCTTAATCGGAATGAACCTCAACAAACAATACAATTTAGAAAGAATATTACTCAAAAATGAAAAATAAAATCTAAAGATGAGATACTTCAGATGATTCTACTTATCTATACTTCAAACACATGTACAAAGATAAGATATTCTTTCTCTACCATCTCATCATTTCCTAGTGGATTAATAACATGACGGATATACCTAATGAGTATAGGTATTGCTGAAATAACATTATAGATATTCCACTATCATCTACTCTACTCAATTTTGAAAAATCTCTATTATGATTTTAATTTTAACATAAAAACATTTATATTGATCTTCTATTTTTTTTATAAAGAATCATGTTTTTCTTCAAAGATGAAGAGTTGTTATATTTTTTACATGAATAATTTTGTTTTGTAATGTATTTTATGAATATTATCAAAATTGACATTAAAGTTGAAACAAAATTTATGAAGTTATAGATAAATAAGTGTGAATATATCAAAGCATTTGTTGATTGAAGTTTTTTACAATAATTTTATGGAATAATTGTTTGTTGATATAATTATTTTTTATCTGAAATTAATCTAATATTTTTTGAAACAATTATAAAAATATGTGTGTATTATAAAAAATTTATTTTTTATTATCAATGAATTATTTTTATTTCAACCAATTTATTATTATTTTTCTAAGAAAGTGATAATTTTGAAGTGACATTTATAGACTTTGATTATTTATGATTAAAAATTCAAAAATATAACTGTTGAGTGTTGTCTCCAAAATCAATACTAGAATTTTTATTTTTTTATTCTGAAATATGAAGCAAATATTACAATATAATGTGTACAAGCATTAGTTTAAGGTCTGCTAATTATATAATACTTAGATTTTTAAAATTTATAAAACAGATTATGAAATTACATTTTCTAGCATTGTTAATTAATTAATTAATTAAATTAATTTTCTAGCATTGTTCAGTAGATTGAATGTGATTTGCTAAAGATAAACTAAAATGGAACTTAAAGATATAGATATAGTTAAAATGTCTAAATAATATCTAACTATTATGCTCAACATTTTCAACACATGACTTGCTTATGAAATTTTAATTGATAAATTCTTTTGACTTATGACATGAAAAATTGTTGATGTGATTGCATACTTGCGAGCACATACCTAGTTGATTCACATTGATAAAGTGATCATTACAAGTAATTTACCGTCTCTTAGCCAGACTTGAAAAAATATATGATGAATGTTACATAACATAGGAAAGAAAAGGTGGAAAATATGAACCACTAGATGAAATTCTACAATAAATCATCTTTTGATAGTTTTTTTTTTTTTAAAGATGTCTATAAATTGCCAATCTTGAGAATCATATTCACTTCTTATTGACACAAAAATCAATTTCAATGAGGGTTGTTTTGTATTTCAGATATTTGAAAGTATATTATATGAGTAACTACCAGGAAGATTTTTATTGTTTTTAAAGTTTTTGTAAACTACAACTTTCTGACGCAGGGTAATGAGAGTACTAAACCGTACATCCCTCGCGTGAGGGAGAGATGTACACATATCTAAGTAGGACGATCATGGGTTGGCTTATGCAATATTTGATAGTGGTACGATTGACATTGTATCGTGGAACAAATATGTGGATAAAGGCATGCTTCGATCTTCAGACACCTAGCAAAGGATCGACTGTATAGCGTAGATGCCGAGTATGCATCTCATGAGTATCTCTTGTTTTATTATGCTGGATGTGTCCCGGTGATTGTTCCTTCGACCATGATGGCAATCAGATAATTGAGCTTCCTCCAAGACAGTACTGTACGTAGAACATTATCTTGCCCAGGTCAGGTAACGATGCCATAGTTTCCTGACCTGTGATTTGCGGACACCAACCGCTAGTCTCCCAACTGCCACATATGACCTGAAATTCATGCCACTTGAAGATGGAGACGGACTGTCTGACTATGTTGGTGTGCTTCTTCGCCTGGTGCAAGCAGAAAAGTCACATCTGCAGCAGAGCGAAGCACAGAAGATGGCCTGTCTTGGGGAACAGAGCCAAAAGCGATTGAGCTTTCAGCTCCCTCCGAGGGATTTCAGTAGCAGCAGGTCTATCTGATGAGATCGCCCGATATTTCCCAAAAGCCAAAGATCCAAGGATCCGAAGCTTTCGAACTGTTGCTGAGTTGTTGTTTTCTCAGGAGGTTCATCCAATCTTTTTGACGTTTTACAGCTCAGCCCAGATCAGATGCATGCCACGCAAATTCAGTTTGGTGAGGTACTGGAAATACAGCATCGGGGGGCCGGGACATCATCGTACATCATATTCCTTGGGCAGAATGGAATGTATTTTTCTCAGAAGGACCGAGCGAGTGATGTAGCCAAAAGTATGGGAGTACACCATCGAGCCGTACAGGGATGGCACCAAACTGGAACATGGGGCTAAGCCCAGCCCAGGCCCAGCACACGACGGAAGCGAGGACATTGTAAAATCGCCCATTGGCCGAAAGCTTCGATTCTCCAACATCCGGTACGGCCCGAGGAAACCACGTCATCGACGCTTGGCGAGGCCCTTCCGTCAGCAGATACTAATCCAACAAGAGAATACGACATCGGGCACTGTCCAGGATGGCAGCTAGCGCCCCAATGGGACGCTCGCACATCTCTGGCTGTGGGGTACATCCGGAGCGCGAGAGCGAAAGACGACAACCATGGCCGCACACGGATCTGGCCTGCCAAATCGAGACCGGGCCCTGTCGAGGTCTTAATCAGCAGATGCTAATAAAACGCGACGAGCGGACGAAGGAGGAAGCATTCGGTGGTCGTGAACCTTGCAAATCCTCGCACTTAATCAAGAGCGCTACTAAAACCAAGATCCGACCCACTTGAACTCGAGAGGGGGCACGGAAATAGTATCGCGTATAAATGGATGAATAAAGCCGTGTGGATTGCACGCTCGGATGAAGGAGGTCGTGAATCATGCGCGCGGCCATCTGATGCAAGGGCTAGCAGTCCGACAGTAAGACGTAGAGGTGGATCGAACTCTCAGCTCAGCCTCTCCAGCACGAGGAGGGATTCATGGATTCCGTCGACTCTCGTCTTGTCTCGTGCAGAGACGATCGTCGACCACAAAAGAAGTCCCGTGGCCAGGGAGCCATGCCAAGCTACAAGCTCACAGCTCTCACTCGAAGCTCCCTGGCCTGCGACGAGCTCGCCATATTCGCAAGCACCAGTCCACGTCTGCTGGACGGGTGCTTTTATCCGCTCCGTGTTCTAAATACGGCTCCGGGCTCGACGACGGCCCCCCCTCCGCTGGCGGGAGCGATCCCAAGAACCCCCCAGCTGTGCCCATGCGCAGAATGGAAGTCACCCCCGTCCCATCGTACCCCGTCCCTGGACTCTGGACTCTGGTACCGTACTCTGCACCGCTCTGCGACGGACTCTCCCTGTCCCTGTCCCTGTCCCGGGGCCTGTCCCGTCCCGTAGGTGGTCAGGGGGAGAAAAGGGCAGCGGAGGCCGGTGCTGCATGTCGCATGCTCAGCGTTCGTTTCGTGTCAAAAGTGCGCGAAGTAGAGTAACTGTCCGCTCGACCCCCCCTTGGCAAAGATGGTACTTTCCATCTGCTGCTGCTGCTGCTGCTGCGGGCGAAACCAGATGGTCGACGATGTTGCTCAGCTCCCGTCGTCGCACGAGTAGGGGGCGGGGGATGCGATGGGATGGGATGGGATGGGTCACCTCACGGCGTCATTGTCATTGTCATTGTCACTGCCACTGCCACCGCCCGTCCTGACACCGGCTGCTCCTCCCGTCGCTTCCCTGCCGTGATCGTTCTGCTCTACCCCTCTCCCCTCCCTCCCCTCCCTCCCCTCCCCTCGCTTCTTTCTCCTCGTGTCCAGATTTGTAGACTTCATTGAGTGCTTTCGAAATTCTATTTTCTCTCTGCTCCTCCGCCTCTGCGGGAGCTGCGTGCGTGCGCACTGGAGAGCAGCAGGCTCCGGTCGAAGCTGCTGATGCCCGGCTGCCGCTCTCTGTGACTCGCGCGCGTGTGAGAGAGAGAGAGAGAGAGAGAGAGAGATCGTCGAGGCTGCCGAGGCTACGGATGAATTGCGGACTCGCATCTGATTTCGAATTGGGTTGAGCATATGGTCTTCGAGTTGTTTTCGTTCGGCTCCAAGCGCACAGCAGCAATTTAGCGGGGCTTGTTTCCTGGTGGTGGGATTGATTATGATGCGGTTTTGGGTTGCCGGTTTGGCTTTCTTGACCTGACGACTCGGGGAGTCTTGTCTGAGGGAGCAGGAGCAGACAGAGAGCGCAAGGGAAGATGTTCCGAGTGGTCGGAGCTGTAGTAGCTGCGTACGCGGGGTACAAGTATGGGGACGATGTGGTCAAGCTCCTGCAAAAGAGGAACCAAAAAGCGCGCATCACAGCTGCTGCTGCTGCGGCTGCTCGCAAATCGCTGCAGATAGATGTGGACACGGAAGAGGACGACCAATTTCACTACACGGACGAGATTTTTAATGGCGACTCCGACGAGTCGACGAGCCTGAGAAAATCGAGACACAGTTTTGCCAAAGAACGACGACGGAGTCACGACACCGAAGTGAACGACATTCCTCTGTACGAGAGAGGCGGCGTCAAGGGCGACAATGTAGAGCACCTGGGATTTCGTAGAAGCCGCAGCGGCAACGTGAGCGAAAAGGCCTACACTTTGGACATTCCAATTCATCCCTCTAGCAGGAAACGAGACTCGCTGCAGGAGAACGAAGGGGAATCTGTCGTCAAAGGTAATCTTATCGCATCCCGTCCTCCTCTGCCAACCTCGGCCAAGACAAGTGCCTCTCACACCGTGCTGCCGACGGGGACTCATCGTTTCGCTCCCTCGTGTGCAGAAGCCGTCCACGTTCCCGCCGAGGACTCGCAGGAATTGCGCAATGTGGAACCGATCAAGAAATGGCGGAGACTGTCTTTGGAAGGCGAGGAGAAGGTGCCATCAGAGCTGCTCCGAGGTCTCCGCTCGAGATTCTCTTTCGAAGCTGACGACAGAGACCTGGCTGATCACTTCCGGGACCTTCGACGAAGTGGAGGAAATGGTGGAAATGGTGGCGTTTTGTATGCCCGGCAGAACGTGAATGTACCCCACAGCAAAACAGACTTAGAGGGCGATAATCGTCGTGATAAGGATCAGGAGCAGGAGCAGGAGCAGGAGGTTGAGTACGAGCTATGTGGAGCTAAGGACCCCATTTTTGAGTCCGAAGCAGAACTTAAAGATCGAATCAGGGACGTCCAGCTGAGGACAGGGGGCCTCAACAATGCCGCAGAGTGGTCGTCCGAATTGCTTACGACTCAACAGCTCAAAGATGAAGATCTCGAAGAGATCGACTGCATGTCGGAAGAGATATACAGTAAACTGCACAATGAAATTGTAGGAAAGACCGAGAAACCTATCGAAAAACTAGCCAATAAGCTCGCCAAAATGAAGGTCGAACGAACGAGTAGTCACGTCGATCTGAACTCCAGACCGGAGAGTACTAGCTCCGCCGATCAGGACGCGGCAAGGAACGACCCCAATTTCCGAAGGTGCCGTGCTTTCTCTACCTGGCCTTTCGTTAGAATTGGTGTTACTTGCCTCATGCGTTCTTGTTTTTTTGAAGATTGCCTAGTTGGTGGAATTCCTGTCACCCCTGTGAGCAGTTCGGCAGTCGATGTTCTGCGCGATTCTGGGTATTAAGCTCTCCAGGGTTCATGTGCCTGCAGATGGACTTCCTTGCGAACAGGCAACAATGGGCGCATTGTGTTTTGGCACAGTCTAGGCAAGCTGTATGACTACTTGACTGGCGAAGCTCTCGTGAACGTGGAGGCCCTGGATGTCACTCGAGGTGTTTCGTTAGGTCCCGACGTCATGCATCAGCTGTCAGAGCGGTTTTTCCTCTTCAGAGATAGGGATTCCAACGAGGTTCTAAGCGAATTCAAAGGAGTGCCCGTGAAGCCTGTCCGTCACAGCTTCTCTTACACATGGAACGCTTCCCAAACATTCAACAGGGTAAGCAAAGCTCTCTGCATTGCTGCAGGCTGTCAGTGAGGATTTTCGTGTCCGTGTTTCCTGTATTATTCTTCCCAATCAGTGTATAGAGAGCTAAATCGAGCGCATAGGAGTCGATTGGGCAGTCATAGACCGGCCTCGAGATGCGGATTCCGCGCACTTGATCTACTTCACAGTAAAGCCTCCAATTCTGAAAGTTGACTCGCTCAAGGACCTGGCCCTGAAACCGTGTTACTCGCCTTCTAGGTTAATACCCTCATCACTAAAAATGTGAATCAATGAAAACCCACAGCTCAAGGTCTGATTTCCGTATTCCTTGGCAGGGTGCAAATGGGTCCGAATCCAAGTTTGAGCGACTGAAAGTAAACGTGGTGGCCATGAAGCAACCAAATGACTCCTCGAAAATGTCGTTCAACTGTCGCATTAGTCTTACTGTTGACATCAATGAAGGTAATTTCAACATCCCTCGGTGCTGCACAGTAGTCATGATCATAAATCTCCTGCTGAGGTGTAGTGCTAGGATGTGTAATTTGGTTTGATGATTGATTCTAATCCGTCATGACAAACAAACTGCGCAGTGGGCTCTCCTGAGTCGATCTTGAAACTGCTAGACTTTGAGGAATACAAATGATGGTTTTAAAAAAATGTCAGTTTGAGACGACGCCAACCATAATATACTTTGCGCTTGACACTAACTCGAGTGTCGTTCACAGGCAAATTCCAGTGGCACGAGATAGGCGATTATGACTTCAACGAGGTCAGCGCTGAGCAGGAAGAGCTGCATCGCTGCACCATGCTGTACATGGGAGCCATACCCCCTTTGTCTCACATCGCAGTCATGCACCTCTCGGGTTGGAGGGTGGACGACTTCAATCTTCTACCATCCTCGATAAGAGAACACGTTCAATTGCAAGACATATCTTGGATCGGGCAACCATGATTTGGGCAACATAAACATCAACTAATTTAACCGCTTGTACCATTAGCCATCACAAAACGTGATAGCTTGATCTCTGAAATCTTGGAGCAGAACAAGTCTGATCTCCAAAGGAACTGCGCTTCCTGGTAGATGCTGGGGTACCGATCCTGTGGCATCGTCAATCACTAGAGTGGACTTGTTGTGTCATTCTGTACAGGAATTCGTACGCGTTTGGGCGAATCCAGTCTGAAATATTTAGATTTGTTTCGTCCTCTTTGTAAGTCGGAACAATCCCGGTTTGTGGGAGTTGAATCCGAGGCATTTGGATTGAGGACACTGCAGTGCTAGCTCAGGTTCGAGTAGGAGTGGAAGAGCAGTTTGCAGTTCAACGTTGTTGTACTTGAGATCTGCATGTAATCATATGCCGGCAATTTTGTCATCCGTCCTTCGTGGACCAAATCAAATGGCTGGACTTGTCCTAGCCTTTACTTTACCTTGGCACTCATTGTAAATCTATCTTCTGTATGCCGCCCTGGATTTTCCTCACCACGTTGTTATCCGCGGTATCGGAACGACCAATGAATTTGGAACGTGGACGTATAAAATGAAGAATCGAAAGCCGGGATACTGTTAAGACTAAAAGTTGCAATCATCACGGGGCGAAGTGCCATCAGCAGTGTCAGCGTCTGACAGTTATTCCTAAGATTGTGAAAGTTTATAAATTTCAACTGGGTCTCGAGCAGCAAGAGAAAGTTCAGCTGAAACCTTACAGATTGAAATCTCTGCGTCTATGACATGACCAGGGGATTCCGTTTCCATGATGTGAAATTAACCGTGGAAATTGGTTGGTGGCGCAGGGCATTTCTCAAACTAAGAAAGATCCGCTTGTAAGCGACTCTGTGGAAATCCCCGTACCGAACGCCAACCTGAGGAGATTATTGTGAACCTTCTCAGGTAGAAGATTCATTCGTTGATCCTCTAATCGACCGGTGGCATATTCTCAGTCATAGACGAGACGACATCCCGATTCTCGCGTTATTGCATGCAACATTCACGGATTCAAACTGACGAAATCTTGATTAACGATAGGAGAGGGAGCGAGAAAGCTCAATAATGATCGAGTCTCGACCACCTATAATTACCATGCCGAAGATCTACCTGTAACGGGAATGTCACCCTCACCCACCATTCTTAGAATGAGAGTCGCAGCGCACTGGATTTACACTCTTCTTAGCGCAAACCGGAAATAGCGTCAATACATCGAGCCTTATCCAATGAAAATCTCAGAAGAGCGAGCAATCACCGAAATATCGTCAACACGGGTGCTAGGCAAGGCCGATCACCACACATTGTGAAAGGGAGATGGGAACCGCAGAGAATCACAGTTCCAAGGCTCTGAGCTGAGCTCTACTCCGAACTATAGAACACTAGGAACAGCAGTAAGTACAAAGTCATGCCGGAGTCGTAACAGAATGGCGGTCAGAGACAGCTTTCCAAGGTCGGCCGAGTCCGAACGACCAATCTTCGAGGGCCGAGGACACAGAGAGATTCTCCCTCTCTGGATTCCATGAGGATTGTCTGAACAATATTGCCCGATGCCTGCAAACCATTGAATCTGCTTTCGGAGATTCAGCACGGAGGCTGGAGCATGGGCAGTGGGCAGTGGGCGTACCCAACCACGGCCCTCGACCATGGATGTGGTTCGCCTTCGAACTGGCTATCGACGGACGATGAAGCTGCTGTGCGATCGACGGGCCCTGTCGCCGTCCGATGGCAACGATGTGATCCATATCTTTGACTGAGCTCCCCACGTGGTTGCACGAGGTGTCATGATCTCCGCAAGCGCTTCCTACTTGTTCATCAGTCGGACAAAGTCTGCGACTGCAGTCCCTCTCCAGACACAGCGATTCGAGCAATCAGGAGCTTGGTGGCAGAGCCGAGGGACATTAGCAGCACATACCAGTCTAGAAACCGAATACAAACCGAGCAGTGTCGGGGATCTCACAAACAAGAAATCGTTCTATGGTTTGCATGATGGATTTAGATCTCGTCATAGTCCAGAATTCGACATATTTATTAAGTGGGAGGCATTTTTCGTTGGCATCAGTTGCGATCTTCTCTGAACCTTAAAACTCTACCAGCTCTTCGTTCAGAGCATCCACGTGTTTAGAAAAGAGTTTCATCTGCTTCATTAACTAACAGGCAACCACCACTTCGAGCCGATTACAATATCTAATCCACATTCCAAATCAAATTAGTTCAGAACAGACCGGTACTACAAATCCACGCGAGCACTTCTTCTTATTTCCTCGACGGAATATACTATCTAGCCGGAGCATGCCTTGATTTGAGTTTGACTCCAAACGTGATGAATAAATTTCTCTTCAAATCTGTTGTTTATTCTCTCGAGTACATGAAGATTGAGACTGTCGATAGCATTTTTGGCCTTCCAAAACTTTTGCGAGCCTTGTGTTCACTATTTGTGCCTGATTTGTAGTGACAATTATACAGTAGGATTGCTCTAAGCTATTTAGAGTAGACAAAGATCATTTGTCTATGAAAGTCTCTTCACAGTAGGCGATGACTTTGTCCAATGACGATGGAGTGACCTTGCTTCAAGCTGACTGGTTCTGTTTGACAGTTGCAACAAGACCGAACTTTGCAGCCTGTCACATAACATACACTCTATCAATCACGTTTGGATGCAATGCACGGGAGAGTGACGATCATGGTGTTGTGTGTGACATATAAGATGTTAAGTAATCGTCAGAAATAAGAAGTCCATCGAAAATAAAATGAGCACTTTTGGAACTTAGTCGACGACGCTTGAGATCATAAGCACTTACATAAGCATTCATTTGGTTCAAGAGAATTATTGCAACTTAGGGTCACCGTGACTTCGTTCTCCTTGTCAGCATGCTGATTTCCTATTTTGTGCCTACATACAATACAGTCCCACCGATCAAACAAAACAAAACAAAACAAACGGCATGTCAATCTTCACTTCGACAAGAAATAAATCACCATGACATATCCTGGATGTAATCGGAAGTTATAACAGAATTAAAATGATCCTACTGTCCGATTGCCAACTGTCATCACTAGGCTTTAGACTTCTGCTGTCCTACAATCTCCTTTTTGCGAGATCCCCGACATTGCTTGCTTGTACTCTGCATCATTAGGCTTTGATCCAAGTTAAGGGACCAGATGCAACTGACGGATATTATGTCGCCTTCGAACTTTATTTCCGTACAGGAGAAATCCTCTGACACTTTTTCAAATTCTAAAAGTCACGTCGCTTGGAGATGACGACAATACGCAGCATCCGGATGGCAAGCAGGGTTCTTGAATTGTCAAGCTCTTCATGTCCATCTCTTCTGTTGTGGCAGCAGCTCTTTCGCTCCCAACCATCTAGTGTTGGAAGGATATGGGTAAGACGTGGTTTGCTGGCTCTAATCGAGCTCCTTCTGCTTCTCCTTCTCCTGACCCCGTGCCAGAACTGAAGCCGGAGCCCAGGCCTTTGGTAAAGTACCTCATTATCGGCTTGCTGGTTGCATTCCGCGCTTATCAGTACCACTATCTTGGGAATCCAGGGCGGAGGAATTTATCTTGAATTATCAGTGATCTTGTATCTCTGCCAGTTTCAGTCTCCTTCTGTTGATTAGACCTCTTTTTGGTATATCGATCAGCATCAACGATAACGTCTGCCCGTTTTTTCATCGAGAGCAGTTGTGAGTCATGTGTGTCATTCATCCCAATGTCGACTGGAACTATCTGAATTGAACATCTCGGGCTTCGTGCGGACCGTCACAACGAGAGAGTAAGCATTGTGAATGCTCGACTGGACCGGCAAATATTTAACACATGTTTTTGTTTGAAATGTTTACGTCGAATCACGAACATGATCTCACAAGACCACAAGTGATCACGCGTTTGTTGCATAATGCTTCTAAAGGGCCTCTACGTAATATCACTTCTGCAGCAAGATAATTCTTAAGCTTTTGGCACATAATTCTTTAGCTACAAACTTGCGTAACAGTGATTCCGGCTTTTGAGCTTTGGCCTGGTTAAGGGAATTTGCCAATCTCCGGGGAAAATCCACTAAACCTTCAAAATACGATCTCAATGTGAGATAGATTGTGAGGTCTTCAGATACATCTGTTCACCATCAGCTTCAAGCTTCATCTCCTCGATGACTTTTGCCATTTATTTCCGTCGTATATATTTACATATGGAGTCTGTCTAATCATGCTTGAAGCTTTCCAGCGCGAGGCAGAGTTGGATACTCACGTATTCTTATTCCGTTTCACAAATTCCTTTTAAGTCGAAACTCGAAGTTGACTGGAAGCTGACGAGGATATTGGTTTGAAGACGATTGCCCCAGGAACATTTCCGATGTCATAACCGTCTCAGTTTGAGTCGTCAGTAAGGAATTTTCTTGACCGACGAGCAGCGATGCTAATTACAACAAATCAAGACTTCACTCATAAGACCGGACTCGCAAAGAATGCAAATTCAGATTACAATCGGAAGTCGTTGAGCGGTGTTTGAACGACTGTACAGTGGTAGATCATAGCAGTAAACTACCATAATTCTTGGATTCTATCAGGCTTGATACATAGATGTTCTCAGAAAAACTGCACTTGGACTTGGAAATGTCCACCTAAGAGACTCTTGTGCACGGCCGACCGACTGTGTTTTGGCGAATGTCTCCTCAAAGACGCAATTTTCTTATTTCTATCTTTCTTCAATCCATTCTCTAGAGGTATGTATATGCATCGCAAATGTGACTGTTGGGATTATCTCCAGGAAATGAGTTTCTCCCAGCACACATGATCGCATCGTAGAACTTCCGTTCCAAGGTGCCTTTGGTTCGTCTGAAAACTGGAAACTGCATGGATGCTGGATCATTGGCACTACGAAGATTGCAAGCCAGTGCTGCAACGCATGTCAGGGCCAAGAGGCGGTGCTGGCTAGTGTACATTGCGGCGCTGCCTATGCGGTAGTAAGTTGCAGCACCTTTAGTAGCACGGTTGTAGTCTCAGATTTCTTCTGATTCTTTTCTATTTTGAATTGGAAACCAATCAACTCAATTCGGAGTTTTTTTAAATAACCAGGTCACTCTTTGGGCTTTTTATTTATATAGTTTAATTTAAACTTTTAATAAATTAGAGAAGAGTAACATTCTTCAAACAGGTGATTGAGAGTGATCAATTTGACCATGCAGTTTCCCTCTTCATATGTTCTTTACCTTATCAATCTCAGACATTCCTCTCGTATCTCCCGCTGATATCTAAGTTGTATAGAAACCAAGAGACTCCAATTTTCTATTAGAGTTGCCATTTGTCGCATCACCAAACAATGCTCTAGCTTAATGCTCAGTGTGGAGAAAAGATAATCATATCTGCCACAACGTAGGCCATAAGAACTTCCTCCACTGTTACGGGCACGTCTGAGATTACGAGATGACGTCTCTTTAGAATGATGCATGATATCTATGTGCTTTGTCCAATCAAGAAACATTATTTTCTTTGTCATATGTATGCAGCTTTGACTCTCACGACAGTCAAAGCTGCATATCTCCAACTTATTTTGCACTCTCTAAACTCAACAATCAAACCCTTCAACCACTTAAGTTCATAGAGACCTCTTTCATTGCATCTTGGACTAAGGTTATGTGGGGGGACAATGCAGCCACCTCTCCCTCTGTGCATTCAAATAGAGTGAAAACTTACACATTCAGTTGTCCCCTTTTATCCAAGTCCCCTACAACATCTGCATCCAGATATCCTCTGACCTTTTCTCAATGTTTCTCGTTTTGTTTGTAGAGCAAACCAATGCAAGAAGCCCCTTGCACTGAACAAAGTACCCACTCCACCACTTTCCAGTCCGATTTACACCGATTGGACATAAATCTTTTTACGAAACTAAACAAGTTAGCTATATCCGGCATAGTGGCAATTAACAACATCCACACTTTCATCAATACGATTGCCTTGCTCTTCCACCTCCAACTCATTTGTCATTGCTCCATCAAATTGATTTGCATAATTGCTTCGCAACGGCTCCACCATAATCTCGTGATGGTTTCTAACATGTGTTCGCAGAAGGATACCATCATTTGACTATCAGTCTATTCCGTTAATATGTAACAGTAGTTCATTACAAAAATCACATCCATATAATAAACTCTTTGAAGTTTTCTCGTTCATGTATTTTGAAAAAGTTGACTGTTAACTCAGGTATTCTTTTAAATTCTGTTAACTTAACCCCAATTTAATTAGGCTAGTTAGAATGTCACGAAAACACTTTTTAAGGTTTTTTCAATAAGTCTGAGGTAGTCCGTGGATGAAGCCGGCAAATCTCAACCAAGTATGTCAAATGACTGCGTGTGAATTATATTCACAGTGTCGACTTTCCTTGTGACAAAATCTTTCAATTTACAAACATACAATGTTGGCTGTAAGATCCATTCCCGTTTACTTTTGATGAATTAGTCAACATCATCCAAATAAGTACACCACTTATACCATGTGGCTTGAAAACAAATGATGCTAAAGAGTAAATATTTTTATTGGCAAGGGAGATATTCACCATATTCATGATAGGTCACCATGTTGACCGCTTTTATCAGATACTTCTTGGCTACTTTGGCTCTTAATAACAAGCAAATCATTCGCTCTAAGAGTTTTCAAATCATACTCACCGCTGGCCCATTTTTGGACAATTGTAGAAGATTTATTTTGCCTTACCACCTCTTTCAATCATTGATTTATCTTTTCACCTTATAATCTTGATATTTTCTTTTCTAGTTCTAACTTCTGCAATCTTCTTCTCAAAGCTATCATTTCCGTGCTTCTAGATATAGAGCCAAACCTTCCAAGAACATTTTTCCATAAACTTTTGAAGTATCATCCTCCACCTTGAGATTTTTTTTTCCTTGATGTAGCCCTCAAGTCGGAAAGGATGAGTGTAGCTTATTTTCTTCCTGTCTTATCGGATGATCTAGTGATTTCACATGAATAGAATTGCCATATTCACGGCTGTTGCAAAAATCCAGTCCCCGAACATATATACTTCTAATAGCGCCTGCTTCTGTAATTCTTGTATTTACAGAATCCAGTCCCCGAACATATATACTTCTAATAGCGCCTGCTTCTGTAATTCTTGTATTTACAGTATTCTTGTAATTATATTTTTTAAGCTTTTTGAAATCTCCTGAGTTTTTTATTGTTTTTAATCAAATATGCATCATATTCAACTGAATTTTATTTTTTATAAAACGTTATTGACTTAATATTCATTAAGAAAACATATTCAATTAAGTATGGAGTGGAACTGAAAAAATGAAAAAAAAACTGATGAACTCAACAAATCGAATGAGGATGAAACATAACAAGAAATTAAAATATAAATTATTTGAGTATTAAAATAAAAAATATACCTAACACATCTAATAACCAGATAATTTTTTTAATTGTTTTAGTTACAATTGAGTGATTGATTTTCCTGTATAGTACTTGTTAATATGATTTGTAGAGAAAAAGAACATGTTGACTAAATTAATGTACGTGTTTTTTTACATGTTTGCCACATTACAATGACTTTAATAGTCTAAGTAATATGGCAATCAAAGTGACACAAATTATGATTAATATGATAGATTCTTCTACATTCTCTCACTTACATGTCAAAATCACTGTCGATCGCACTATAAAACTCCATTGCTAGAGGAACAAAGAGTTTTATTCTTGGCAGATCCTAATACAAACAGAGCTTGGTGCTTTCACTACACCACATCCTCACCCTAACTTGAAACTCGTAAACCAATTATAAGTTTGTCACAATTTCTTTAGATTGCGATACATGCCAACACTCCCTAAACGTGTATCAAACATCTTCATTCACCATTGCAAACATCACACTCCAATGGCATCATCTGTTTATGAACTTTAGCTTCAAATAGGGATCTAGTCATGTGAATATGCTCATGGATGAATCAAGACAAAGCGGACGTTTTTGCTGCAGAAAGTTATTAACTAAATGAAGTTGCATTATTTAAGTTGCAGCACAATCTATCATATAAGAATGACACTGAAGTAGTTATGTGTGTGAGACTATGGATGACTCTCATAATTGATTCAAATATGTATTGATTAACCTTGCTTTTGTATGCAACATCTTCATATATTCTTAAATATTTATAATTTTCAGTGTGTGTAGTATGCATTATACTCAACGTCTAACACATAACACAACCTAATTTTTTTGCTTGCACAGGCTGTATTCATACTCAATAGTATGAACTAGAAAAATTTTGAGTTTTAAGTACTCACTTGGAATTGAAGCGAACTGAGTGTTAATAAACGCTAAGCACTCACAACAATCCCGATCGAGTGCACTGATTGATGTATGTATACACTCTACCACGTCGAGCTAAAATGTGCACGTCACAGATAACATTTTTTGTGGAGTTAAGATTCAGGTTGAATGTTTCTATTTACCGTAATTATCTGCTGTTAATCCAATTCCAAGTTAGACCTCCTCGTGTAATGATGCCCAAAACATGTGATAATAAAATTGTATAGATTCCGACGGAGTGGCAGTTCCATAAACTAATGTCCAGTCTTTGATAATTCACATATATATCCACGCCAGGTAGAAAATTGACATTTTGTTCAAATCAAACCTTGTCGGAAAAATCTATGCTTCTATGTGGCACTTGTTTCAGATGCATTTGGTAAAGCAAGCGAGCTTTCGAGTTGTCCGTTTCGAGCCAAAACAAACGTGGTACTTGTACACCGATCTCAAATGTCGGGAAAATTCTCTTGGAAGGAGCAACAGCAACCACGTAGAGGAATAATGAGTTTCGTTAGAAACTACGGATCACCCCAGACCGTCGTAGTTTCTGATGAGCGTGCAAACTACGCGGATCCGTTACAAACTGTTTGTGCCGGCTCTCACCCTTTATGGAATTCCAGCACGGACAGCGTGTCGACTGTGGCCACGAGGTGCACGCTCGAGAATCCGGCATCTTGCGCAAGTTTGCGGAACTGCGTCAGAGTGCGTTGTTTGCCGCCCTTGTTTGCGGCCATCATGAGCATGTCGGCGCAGACGTTGATTTGCGTTTCCACCGAAGAGTCGGACGTCTCGGGCAGAACTGAGTCCATGTTGATCAACTTGCCTCGTGGAGGCAGTGCTCGATTTACGCTTTTCAGTATCTTGACACAACTCTCGTCGCTCCAGCAGTGCAGAATCCACTGTCCATGTCCACAAACCACACGACACGAAACCACAGTTCAGCAATTTACGTCGAACTTGAGATGAACGTCCATCCTGTGACAGCCTCTGAAACATTTGATTCGGAAACGACAGGCTGAAGCTTCACTCTGATACAGGAGTGTATTGTTTACCTTCATCCAGACTGCATCTCCTCGAGGCACACTTTGAAAAAAGTCTCCAGCTACATGCTCCAATCCTGCAGCCAAAAAGTCAGTTCGGCACGGGAAACATATAAAGACACGAACTGGAACCTGTTGAGAAACCATATGGTTTATGAATTTTCAGATAACTGTTGATCGAAGCACTTTTTCGCAAACGATGCCGAGTTGAACTCTGTCGATTTGCTCAGACACCGACTCTCACATTGGATCGAAGAAAGTAATGCCTACTTGGTGATTGAATTCCTTTGGCGACCACATGAGGCAGGTCGAAGTTGATCCCTCGGAGGTCAGGGTACCGGGAGAGGATCATGGCCAGATTTGCACCCACTCCACCGCCGACGTCGACCAACGAGGTCAGACCTTCGAAGCCTCGGTAGGTCTCGAGCAGCATCGACACCCACATATGTGTATGATGGGCCATACTCGTGTCGAACAGCTCGGATAACCGCGAGTCTGTCTCTAAAACATCGATGATCTTCTTGCCATTGGCGATGACGAAAGGCTCTGCGTTCCGGTCCAGAACTGGTGCATGGAGGTACTGAAAAGCTGATGTGTACACAGAGTCTGTACGCAGAAGGAAAAGTGGAGAGAGGGACATTCCAGTCTCGTTGCTGGCTATCAGATACTTCAAAACTGGCGTGACTCCATATCGTCTCTCGGTAGCTTGCGGATTCGAGGGACATGCTGCAACGCATGTCTCTGTCACAATGTTGTGGCAGGCCAAAACTCGTAAAAGGCGGTCCAAGTTCTCTGCATCGGCAGAGGTTCCTCCGGGACTCACTATGAGCTTGCTGATCTCCTCGGAAGTCAGCTTAGCATCTGGACCTGCTTCGTTCAAAATTTCTGGCACACCCAATAGTATAGCGGCCTTCAAACTCAAGGGCACTGCACACATCCCAGCTAACTGTAATGCCGCAAGCCTACCTTCTCGCTCGTCTCCAGAGCATTCTTCAGCTGTCATTGTCAAATGAATTGGACGACGGATCAGATTCGAGCGGTGATCACGACCTTCTTGCTTGAGAATCTCTGTTGACAATTCTATCGTCAGCTGTGGACAGAGACTTTGAAACTGCAAGGAGCAAAATACCCGAACACCACCACTTTTAAAATCTCAGGGTTCTCGTCGCGACACTCAAGAAAGATATGGTACATATTATCAGTTCTTTTACAGAACATATCTGCTTTTCAAGTGTAGAGTCAGTCAGCATAGGATACATGTGTTTCGTATCTAGATAGTTAACAAACTGTCGGATTGAGACCCTCTCGAATTACTGCAAGCATTTCTTGTCAAATATCTCCCCATTTTAGCTTGGGAAAGTTCTACTTGAACTCTTGACAGTAACCAGTCATTCCTGCTATCAGCAGTGCTCCACTACATTATTCACAGCGGTTAAAGTGCAAACCATGAAAAACTCAATCCTGCAGTATTTCTCTAAATTGCTCGACAACATGTTTCAAGGAGCCCTGAGGCACAACAAGAACATTTCCATCGTGAAAATGGCCTCTACGTCAACTTCGGGAGATTCAATACGTAGAGTAGTGCCGGCCTAGAGAGCAAACTTATTTGTAGTAGTTGTATTTTTAGTGTTGCAACAGCTGATTCATAACTCATTTTGTGAAAACGTGTAGTCGTCTGGGATGGGAAGACCCCATCAATCAGAACAAGGAACAATACAAACGGGAGATAGGGGCTAGGCCCCAATTGTATCATGATGAGAAATCACGATAGGCATAATCACGTACCCTCAAAGCCCTCACATGTTCGCATGTGAAATGTTGTAGGTTCTGAGAATTTCAACGCAGAACTTACGAAATTTCACGTGAGTTCTGCGTTGAAGTTCTCAAAGCCATGGGTCCCACCTGTGTTACCAGCAATCCTCCACATGGTAGAGATCAGCACTTGGGTAGAGATACTTCATCTTCAGATATGCACTGACAGATGTTGTTCCCATCCTACGAACATCATCTTTGATTCACTCGGTGAATGTCTGATTCGCACGAGATTCAGAAGTTGTCGAGGTTATGCAAACTCGGAAAAAATGGGAGCGATAGGTGTAGGAGTCTACACTGTCTAGAGCTCGAGCTTGCTCGTGTTCATGAAAGTGACATGTTTTGTGCTACTTATAAGGTCATCTATAGTTTTCTTAATTTTGACTCATTAAACTTTCACATTTGTCATCTAACGAGGCACTCATTCAGCTTTTTGTACTTACTTGAGATATGGTAATGTGTCTCGAGATTCGTCGATCTATCATTTTGATACTTGTTAGTCTACGAGGGACTTTATAACCTCGACCCATCTGTAGCAATCCTGATACATTGCTCTTGTGGATTGCATCGATTATCGGCTAGTGGTATCATCCTGGAAATTGTTATTCTCTTGCAAGGAGTGTCAAACATTTTCTTGAAAATAGTAAGAAAGTATATTGGCGTCAACCCACATCATTTTACATATCTAAGAATGGAACGAATACAGATCCGCCCCATGACACTGGACGTTCTATGTAAGGATAAGATTTACATCCAGCTGTAATAGATGTAGACCTAACACGGTTATAATAATAACATACATGAGTTTCACATCTTAATTAATTTGGTTACGGAGATTCAAAGAACTACAAATCACGAATTAAGTAGGAATGTCTTACAAGTCTAAAAAAGAATAGAGTACTATACTCACATACTATCTTATTCTCTTAAGTACTTCATTCGGAATATTTAGCAATGAAGTAAGACGAAAGTATTGATGTACCGTATCTCTATGCAGTCATGAAAATACGTAGAGATACAATTGAGAGCACGATGGTTGCAGCAGTTGATGTTTATCTGGAATATTGTGCAATTTTTTTATAAAGTACATTCAAGAGACGTTTCTTTTTCAGTTAGAGAGATGACGGCACACTTTTCCATACAATGGTCCATACTATGCGTGTTATTTTGTGACATTTCCAACGATTTAGGCTTTCTTACCCATACGCTATTATTGATGTTCGACAATTGCATGTCTTTCCCATGCGACATCACCTTCGACCCGCGTAGAATATACACGAAAATACGTTAACGATGAACACACCGTATCGATCTGACAATAATAGTGGCTTCAAGAAATGCATACTTCAAAAAAGAAGTAGAATAATCGAAATATCCAAAAGTTTCAAGATTCGGCGTCCTGTCTTTTGTAATTACCACGTGATGAACTCCTACGATTGAATCTCCTTCAGATAATTCTCCAGGAGAATATATTCACCATAGATATTGCCGTCAGGGGATCCTCCAGAATGATATGATTTTATACCCTATAATTGATTTGATTCGTATGAGAGAACCATGAGAAGCAGTTGCTGATCAAAAAGCTTCCCATTGTAAAATAAAATCGCTGCCAATCCGTATCCGACCTGACTCTAGCAGTCTTCCTTGCACGTGGCTGACGATGAAAGCCACGGTTGTTTGTAGACTTAATAAAAACGTGCATAAAACCTGCGACTCTTAGAACTCCTTTTCACACAAAATGTAGGATCCCACGACAAACAGTGCCCTAAGATGCGATATCATCGAACATGGCCACAGATAAATGAGTCGTCATTTGTTTATCAGGCGGGTTCTATGCTTTACGTGTTGCTGCAATGCATTGACTGGCCCATATAGCAACTTTTGGATGCTTTGAATGATACTTCTCGTTTCCAACCATGGTTGTCTTTCCTGGACAAATTTCATTATGATTTCTGTACATTCTCTGCGACTTTTATTTCACCCTTCAACTTCATGCTTTCCGATTAGACGAGTTGGCTCGGGTAGGGCAATTCAACTCACTGTTATGACTGTATGGCAATTTTCGCTGCGTGATCCAGCGGTAGTCTTTGAAACGAAGCACGTGGTTTACAATGTAATCAAAAGTAATGAAGGAACATTGCCTAAATATGACGCAAAAATTTCATGAGTGAAATAATTCGTTCGTCGGAATTAGCGTTGTCTTCACAAATATTTCACTTTCAGCAGAAGTGTGCAGATTGTCATTGTTACTTCCGCCCGTGAACATAGAGGTGTACTTGAAGAGTTTTGCCACTTGAAGTCTACTAGTTGTATGCAGATTAGTGATTTCACCGACATAGATGTTGTTTGTATTTTTTTCCGTCCTTATCACTGATGTGCGATGTTGGATGGATGGTTTATAAAAGTGTGTCAAGCCCTTTTTGAAAGATTATAATTGCATGGAATATTTTTTCGTCATGTCTAAATGATTTAGCGTCGTGATCTTTTCTTTCTTAGGTATATTCAATTAATCTAGCCGAATTTTACTTACAATGTTTCATCCTCAAGTTGATTCAAGCATTTTCACGCATATTCCTTTCCATCGTGTCATAATATTCTCTCGGTTCGCCAGTATCTCAAACACCTTCGTCATTTTGCTAGGTGTGAAGATTTCACCTACGAGCGCACTGGCTAAGTACCAATACCTCACAGGCCAAAGATTCGCAATGTTCAGGTTTATTGAAATATCGGCGTGATCTACTTACATTCTAGTGATAATAAAGGCAGCGGGAACGTTAAATATAATCGTGATATTCAACCGAGCTGACACTCGGACACATTGCAAGTTTCCTCAATGGTTCTCACTGAGAGTGGCTAAAAGAAATCCATTTCGTACTTTTTTCCTGGGGTGATATATTACATTGGATTTACCAGTGAAAGGCCGCAGCTGACACAGGGTTAATCCACAGCATTCGTAGGGCCATATAAATTGGACGAACGACCAATTTCCTCCTAACGGCTTAATTGAATTTTGACCAGAATGAGTATCTAGAACCACTACATGGTAAAGAATCTACTTATTCTACAATGATTTTCCTTCCTCGGAGGAACCGAGATCTATTTTCTCGAGAACGGCCATTAGGTCAGGTATTTCAAAGGGTCAACGTACTTTTACACAGGACATGCTCGAAAGAGACATGCGAAAAAATTGAAAGGCCGTTAAACTCTGCTAAGCCTTTGTTTCGAAGAGGGAGGAGCAACGAGAGCTCTGGCGTACGCCGCTGGCAGCAGCAACAATTTCTTGGCTTTTCCAACGTATGCACGCTTGGTGAAGTTGTTGTAGTCATTTGCTTCAATGGCATCCAAAATTTGACGATATAGAATCAACGATGCCCACACCTGCGATTGACCCGAGACAAATAGCTTAGTCTACATGTCAGACCTTGGGGCACAATCATTATGGGCCACTTAGAGTAAAACATTAAATGGTATGCACGCCGACTATTATCCACGTTCAGGAGAAAATTTACTTGCCTCTCACAACCACATTACCTCCCTGTTCGACTTGGGACACGTTGACTGGATGAAAATGAAAAATTCAATCGATTGCGATGGCTAACATTGGATGGCAACAAAGTTTACAACGGTGTTCCTGAGGGCATGTAGGCAAAACGTACCGGCCATCGACTGTCCTTATCGAGTTCTACGACTCCCTTCTCGGCCTCAGTGAAAAACATGCGTGCTCGACGAATTTGATCCTTCATGAAAGCTCTCCACTTGTCCGTGACAACTCCGGCAAAAATATCCTCATCAGTGATTCCGAATCGAGTGAGCTCGTCTTGTGGCAAGTAGATACGCCTTCTTCGGGCACTGCAGTATAATATGACAAGTTAGAAGACACAAAATGCTTGATTATCGTGCATAATATCTACGAGAGTAGATCCGACCCCACCACACGTTCTGTTCCGCTCCTTCACTTGGCAGCCCAAACATGAAAAGAGAGATTCTCGGAACTAAGACTTATAGCAACTCATGTGGAATAGCGCAGAGGCTTTTGCAAGTTCAGGTGAAAGTGCATTCAAAGTCTACAGGAAAAAAACAACCTATATCACTTGATGGCGCTGTAGGTAAATCTGAAAAAATATGACAAAATGACTGCTCGGCCCTATTATTCATAAGAGCAGTTAAGTTGTTGTTAAGTTAAAAGAAACTCACTCTTCGCCGACGTCTCGCAGAATATTCGTCAACTGGTTTGCAATTCCCAAGGCAAGGGCGGCACTGTAGACACTTTCGGTTGTGGCTTTCGAGTCAGGGTCTATACCCATCACAGGAACGCTCATGAGCCCGACGGTGCCGGCCACGTTGTAGCAGTACAAGTACAACTCATCAAAGTTGTTGTAGCGTGATTTCACCAGGTCCATACGCATGCCATCAATCATGTCTCGGAAGGGCTGCAAATAGATCAAAACCATTAGACTCCCGCTGTAGAAGATTATAAAAATGACCAAAGTGCAACTGAGACTGCAGTTCGTGCACGGTGATACTGGAAGCGCTTTGGACAGAGTTAAGTCATGAAAAATTATTATACAAGTTTCCTACACTTCATGAAAACTAGCACACCAGTTTCCATCATTGGTCGTGTAAAACAGCTTAGAAAAAGTACCTGAATGTCCACAGGAAATCTCGAGACGGTGTCCGAAAGTGCGGCATCCAACATGTCGTAAGGCTGGCCGCGGAAAATATCCTCCAACCTCTCCTCCCATCGATCGAGGGCGGTGGGAGTGATTCGAGAGGCATTTGGACCGTCCACGAGTTCGTCAGTTCTTCTGCACCAGACTGTAGCACGAAATTCAGAAAGAAGTTCAGGCGTGGTGCCACTTTCGATCTAAGCATTGTGGTAGTCAATGATCAACGAGTGCTCGTCAAAGACACTTTTTCTATACTCGGGGATGCAACCGGAAGACAGTAGCCAGAGATTTCGAAGGTTTTAAATCGTCCTCGAAGACAATTCACTCGTCTAAGATTGTAAGAATCTACACAGGAACTATTCCGCCAAACGAAGTAGACAACCCGTGTTTCTAGGGATCTTGACTGCCGCCTTAATTACCGGAATTCGGCACAAAATTCGTTCAACCAGCCGTGAGAAAAGGCGGCGAATAATACGCAAACAAAATCAGAAAAATCCCCACAAAATGAAACTTGTCCGCACCAAATTGGACACTATCAAACCTCATCCTATCCGTTCTCACAGAAAGAGCAAGTTTTCAGGGCCACACTCACCATATATAGCCCAAATTGCTCGTTGCCTTTCAGGAGTCATCAGCTTCGTTCCTGCACATAATGAAATCACAAAATGTTATTTTAAAACTGATGAACGAAGCTACAGACCCAACCCTGTGTATGACCAACAGCAATCTTCTCAGGCTATGGACGGAACCCTTAAGATTCCGCGCTACTGTGGAGAGATTCATCACAAGACCGTGTCCTCCGGAGACACGAAGGAATCCTCAAACATTGCGTTCAACGGTAAGCAGAAACACCGATGGCACGGACAGACTGTAGGCCACCCCACAAAGAGACGACAAAGATCCGCTCATGTGACAGAATGTCGAGGGAAGACCGATGGACGTGTCCATGGCGATTAGAGAGCACAACGGGGGCGTGCAAGAATGTGACAGGACGCAAAGAGCGACTCACAAGAAGAAAAGGAGGGGAACGCATACCGAGATAGAACGTTTTTGCGTATTCGGCGCACACTTCTCCACAACGAGCGTAGGCGTCACTGAGCAGCTCGGGAGAGCCCATGGTGGACGAGCCGAGCTCCACGTCGACGAGGCTGGTGCCTCGTTTCTGCTGCTCCTCCAGCATTGACGCCTGCTTGGCCACCACGTCGAAAACCTTCTGCTCCGCCGAGAGCATCGACCTTCCGGAAGGGTCGGTGACGAGCGACGACAGCACCCTGAGCGTGCTTCGCTCGCGGGCAGTCGGCCCCACGACGACGGAAGACGGCCCCAGCCCCAAAGCTGCCCTTCCCCCGCAGGGTCGAGTCACTGACAGCGCCTTCCCCCTGCGCGTCTTCCTGCTACCTAGCCCGGACGACGAGCGCTGCTGGAACAGCTCAGACGAGCTCGACGAGACATGATCCCCGTCCGACGATAGCCAGCAGACGGGCGAGTAAACATTGCCACAAGTCACAGACTGCATTGCTGTCTACGCCCCCTGCCACAGCCGATTCCTCTTCCTTCTCTCAGCTCCCCGATTTTTGACACACCGACGCGACACGGGTCTCAACTGGATTCAGCTCAGCGCCTTCCAAGTGCTTCGCGGGACGAGAAGAGTGTGGTGATTTCGAGCCGCCTGCGCATCATAAAAAAGGGCTCTGTGTTAGGTCCGGGGGCCCGGGACACGTGAAGGTGTTCCCTCGGTGCAAATCATCCGCTTGCGCGTCTGGGTCACGGAGGAGAATCAGAGAGTCCCTACTAAGCAAATATCTTCGGCACGGCGAGGGGAGCAGATAGGACAGGAAGGTCTCCCGCAGACTGTCGTGCTCGAGAGAGCGAGCTCGAGAGGCAAGCTGCGATCAAGCGCGAGGAGTACGAACAGCAAGAGAGTGAAAGAGCCGTGCTAGAGAGAAGAGACGGGGGACCTACCGGAGGATCAATCAGCGGGGAGCGCAACTCTTGGCTGTCGAGGAATTCGTCGAAGGAGGCGACCTCGAGCAGGCAGGAGCCGTAGCCGGGATGATATCAAATATCCATGGCAATCCGCAGCGATCTCACGCACCTTCACCACCAGGGCCTCGGTGACGTCGAGCACGTGGAGAACGCGGAGTCAACTCGCCGGCGCAGGAAGTGAAGTGAGAGAGCGCAGCAGCAGCGGAAGAAGGTACTCGAGCGAAGGAAGGAGGGGAAGGATGGCCTGGGACGAGCACTCCGAGCCACGAGCCGCGAGCCGCAAGCCGAGCATCAGCGTAAGGCAGCAATCGAAAGTCGTCCGGGCTGATGTGGCTTGGAGCCCGGGGGCCTTTTGAGCCCTTTGCTCTATCTGCGCAATCTGGCAACCCAGTTCTCGAGCGCCCCTCCGGTCCGACGTGGCTGCACCTGCTCTTCCCCTTCTCGCAAACCTGGCGCCCCCTCCGTCCCGCGGGCGCAGCGCGCGAGTGATCGTTACCCAGGGGCCAGTAACTGACCCGGGGTCCACGTAAAAGCATACCATCCAAGCCTTGAACTCGGGGAAAAGCGATGGACGGCTGCGCCGTCCGATTGGCTGCGATCCTGCCGGCCGCTGCCACATGTGGCTGATAGGGCAATACACGACCAGTGAATCCGCAGGCCGCAGTGTCCATGTCAGCAGCGCTGCGATTGCAGCTCAGCGCTGCGATTGGCGCACGCTGCTCGTCGGAATGCGGATCGCAATTTTGGACACCTTCCGCGACTCACTGTGGCCCGGCTCCCAGGATAAGACGCGACACATGGACCAGTGACAGAGCGCTGAGAATTGCTAGACCACTTGTTTTCTGGGCCTCTGATGTCTCAGCGCCACATGTACATTTGCTCGAATTTTGGCCCCGCGCTCTCTGGACTGCGCCCGACGACATGTGGAATCCATCTCTCCGAATGTGGTCTCCCACCACTTCATTGGCCACAACTGTCCGGGAGCCTCTGGGGAGCTTTTTTAATATTTTCTGAGCCCCTTCTTAAATCAGCCTCAATATTTGTGGACGGAATTTCGCTTTCCGTCCCGTCTCCGCTTTATGCCACGTGTACTCGGACGCCCGAAGCCCTCCGTCTGCTGGTCCTTCTGGATCCTGGACGCGTGCGACTTTGACCAGACATGGCTCATTATGAAATAATTTTTAACCGGTCGACACGGGAAAAAGCGATGCAGCTAGTCGGTGACCGGTGTCCGCTCGACCTGTTCTGAGTGGTTCCCTGACTGCCCATGGCCAACTTGCGCTGGCTGAGTCGCTGCATCGCTACTGACTGTGCTTCCGAGCTCGGCCACAAGGTCCCGACCATTGAATCATGAGCCCCTCTCAACATCCGGACATGAATGACTTTCCTCCAGGTACAGAAGTCTACTCCAAACGGATCGCAAACATGGTTCCGGTCACCACTTTACTGTGGTCGGCTGATGCTTGCTCGAGTACTGCGCAGAGTCTGACGAACCTTCAGATGCCACACTAAGTAACCCTACGAGAGTTTCGATCAGCATGCTGACCCGCGTTGTGCGTTGCGGTTGGCTCCCGGCTCTACTGTGGTTCCCGTGGGGCGCTGGTTTCCATGTCGCCCGGTTCTCACCACGAGGTACACCGTCAATCAAACATCGACAACGTCGCAGTTACAGTAGCCCTTGGATTCATGCATGTGGGACATTTCTTCTAATTTGTTTTTTGCGGCGTAATTTCGGCGATTCTGCGTGATTTGAATGTGTTCGGCGGACGGACATGAGACATTCCGTACTCATGATGACTTCATAAATTCAAACTCATTCTTCGTCCGGCGGTGTCGTGGCATAGGCTACTCATGCAGGGAGGCATATATGTCGATGCACGGGAACGGGTTGCCCAGAGTCTCGGAGTCCAACTCCTTATCTCGGGAATCTTGCGATGCGCATTTGGCGAAATGGGATCGTTCGCCTCCATCCTCGATTTGTCTGCAAAAGGTCGGTCCTCTTCGATCGACGGTCTCCTGGGAGAATGCTTGGGTACTCATGGGTATTGATGCATAAAATCATGATGTCCGGAGTCAAATGTGGAGGGCCACCCATTGGCTCCTGTCATGCTCTACTGTCATATCCTCTTCGAAAGTTGACATAATGTCACGTATATGCAACAGATTTTATTTCATAGACTATTCTGTATGCTACAATATTAATTTTCTAAGTTCTATAACACTCACTTACTTATTTATATATAAATCAGTTACGATTCATTCATAAATATCTTTTTACAGAATCTAATATTAATGAAATTAAACAGAACATCAGATATGTTGAAAATGTCTCACGCATTCAAAAGTGGAAAAATCTAATTAGGTCATCGTATGAACTTTGGTGAAAATAGAAGATTATGTTGCTTAGAATCTGCATGATGGTCTCATCATACGAGGAACCGTAACCGCAGTTGAAAACTATACTCCAAACCAACAGGACTGAACTCATTCTGCGAACGATTGGTGCTTAGCAACAAGATTTGATCCAAGACTAGTTGCTTCTCTTCTCATATAGTTAACTAAAATCGCTTACGCTTACGTAAGTTTTAATCTTAAATTCCATTATCATCCTCGAGGAAGATATGATTTGTATGTTGGAAAAGATTTGAATCGATTACACACGAATCCAGTCTATACTACGTCTAATAATAGAACATTACGAGCTTGAGAAGCAAACTTGAAACTTTGATTAAATCATCGACAAGAATGTGTCGTATGAATAAACTTTTGAAATGCCTTTGGGTTAAATAGTGCACTTGCTAACCCTCGTAAGTAAGTAAGTACGTATGTATATGTATACATTCGTACACCGTAACTTCATTATGCCTTCACTACATATGTGATGTTTATCAATATATTGCTACTGTACATGAAACACAATTTGAAATTTTTGAAGCAATTGAATATTCAGAAGCCTCTTCGTATTCTAGATTGAATTTTTAACTTAAAAAATGAAAATTACATCATCTTAGAATATTAAATCTAAAATTATAAGAAATTATTATAATACATATATATATATATATATTATATTATAAAAATATTAATTTTACTGTAAATTATTATATTTTTTCATATTTTCATATATTTTTCACTATTCTAGACTTCGTTTTTTTATAAGGTTGCTTATTCATGTTTTTTTCAACCCAATTTATGAAAACTATATTAATTTGAATCATTAATATAGGAAAATCTTATATTTATTTGACATGAAACTTTGAGATATAAATTTCAAAAAAATCTCATTATTTATATTACAAGCTTGGTATTTGAATATCTAAATATTTCTTACATATTTATATTTTGAATTTCCCTGATGTATATTTTAAGATTGAAATTTATTTAAAAAAAGTAATCAAAATTGAAATAAATTAATTTAATTGTTAAATATTTAAAATATATAGCATAAAAAAACGGGGAATCATAAAATTTCCATGAGCATTAGAATTGATACTTATGACATACAGATTATTCCAATAAATTTGAACATAAAATATTTGATTGACAAATGTGTTATAATTCTACTTTTTCTTATTAATGTATGTAGTTAATCTTCATATTTCTTTTACTTGGTATAAACTCATCATTCTATGGATATGAAAAATTACGCTATTTTCTAGAATTTATTGTGAGATGGAAATCTATCACTTTAAGGAGAATATATTTTTAGTCAAACTATTTGTCAAATTTATATGATGCCATTCATACACAAATTCAAAAATTTAAATTTAAATTATTGAAATTTATTATAAAATATTGATTTTTTTGTTTTCATGAATAGATATATAGTGACTTTCGTATATTTTGAATCTCGTATGATTTGAATAATTTGATCCTAATCATCAACACTAATGATAATAAGTCTCATTCAAGTATTCTTACATACATAAAATGTTATATTTGTGTGTGTGTTATTTATATACATTCATGAGATAATAATTTCAAATGTTTCAATATTCTTTGATAATGCAACAAGAACACTATATATATTTATATATAGAGAGAGCTTTTGAATTTTTTCTTGTGTGACTTGATTTATAGTTTAATCATTTTTGTTAAGTTTTGATCTTTTGTCAACTTTTTTAATATATATTTCTGATGCTCTAAATAATATTTGTTCACATTCATTCATTGATATTTGAAGTTATTTGACAGATTTTTTGTGGAATCAATCATATCATTCAACTCAAAATTTCAAAAAAGTTGTAGAGCAATAATCCTTATTTTTTAATACAAATCATATTGAAATTAGTATTATGCTATCAAATTTTATTTGATTTTTATCAATTTTGTTTCTATATTTTGCTTTGTTCACTTCTAAAAAAATAATTATCCTTTAGCTTATTGACTTTTTTTTAATATAATTTTATCAAAGCGCCTATTTAAATTATGCATATATATATGATTATTAAAATAATAATTTTTAAAAAAATATTAAATTGGAAAACAAAAAAAGACAATTTTTTAATTTAAAATTTTTGTTAACTTATCAATACAAAACTTAATTTTTTATAAACCTTTTTGAAAAGTGAAGTGAGAATATTTTTATTTTTTCTGGTAAAAAATTGTGAAAAATGTTATATTTAAGTTGTAGTAATATCTTAAATATCAAATGAACCAATATTTAAATCTGTTGTGATCTCATATTTTTTTTGGTTTGAAATTGATCTGAATTGGCCTCATCATATATAACAAAAAATCATGTTAACATACTGAGATTTTTTAAAGATTCCAAATTTAAATTATTTGAATACAAATTATTTATCTTTCTAGCAGCAAATGAGAAGAAATATATTGAATGTAAGTTGTACAAATATTTTAATAGTATGAGCAATGACGTTTTAATGTGCATCATATGATAATTAATAATAATAATAATTACACCAAGACTTACTTGACCCAAAGCATAGTTTTTATGGCTTGAATACTCTTGTTTTTGTGGTTTATATTAGCTAGTACAATGGATTTTGATAAGAAATTTTTTTTTCATTTATGTTTTTTATATTTTAAATTAATTCAATATCATATTTTTGTCGTGTCTTTATCAAGTAAACAGTTGAATGGACGTATAATGCTCTGGATTTTTTGTTCACTCTGCATTGTGACTTTGTTTATAACATTAAGAAATAAGATGATTTTAGCTTGTAAACTGTACAAAACCCTGATTTCCATAGTTTATTTGAAAGGAAAGTTGGTAATGTTCAAAATGAAATCAAATTTGTTGGACTTATGACATTTTACCATTAGATTAATGGAAGTGGAAAAGTTACTCTATTCATCATATTTTTGGAAATTGCTTTGATTTTAATATATACATTCAACTTAAACATCTTCATATATACTGTGAGAACCAATTTTGAAGTAAAATTACAAAATGCTTAAAATTGACAGAATTAAAATTTGAAAATATAAAGATAGAACTGGTTTCAAAACATTTCTTTAGGATTGAAATTATTTCATTTAGGAATAATCCAATACATCCAAAAATCATGAGAACTAAATTTTTTCTTTACCATAACTTAGCCCTAAATTTTATGAAAGATATCAAAAAAATGATTCAATATGATTTCAAAAAAATATAAAATGAGTGGAAAAATGACGATCTTTTTTCAAAATATATTTCATTGCTTAACTACTTAATTCAAGATTTTATAGTAACAATGTCAAAGCTCACATCTCTATATTACTTTATTAAGAAAGCTACACCATCAATCTTTTAAATGCTTAAAACTCATTATTTTTATTGTTATTTCATCTTGGAAAATTTTAATATCAACCAATCTTTCATGTATTTGCAATTTATGGATATCTTTGGTGACATACATTACTGCCAAAATAAAATTCGTATTTTTAAATAAAGATTTTTTTTGAATCGATTTACAAAAGGAAAAATTATGAATTTTATGAGGCTATGTGAAAATATGTTTATTGTGTGTTAGATTTGTAAACTTTAAAACTCAGAACCACTCATCATTCAGTCACACCAACACTAGAGACACGAGAGTATAACGTGGTTCACACTCCGGGGTCACGTCCACGGAAAGAAGAGCACTAGAGAGTTTACTTCTTGAATGCTTGAAGTCATATCTTCTTATCACTCTTAGGGTATATATACCCAAGGTAGTCAACCACTATAAATTATAAATAGCTACATATGCGGTTAACCTTAGTTAACTTCTTAACTAGAGTTAACTTCAATAAAATTTGCTCAAAGTACTTTTATGTGGAAATTTTACACAAACGTGTTGATAAATTCTAATAAAAAAGTATAATGATATGTGAAAGATACTTTTTTATGAGATTTTAAACTTATGATGTCATATTAAAAGCATAATGAGACTTAAATTGAATCTATAACGTTTGTTTAATTTCGATTGTCATGAGCTTGATACTTTGTAGTTTAGTTATTTTTTTATGAGTATGATGTGGTGTAAGTCATCAAGTTGTTTTTTGTATACATGAGGTTGTATTTAACATATCTTATGAATTCAAAACTTATAAGTCTTTGGATAGTATTGAGATGTAAATTTTGTGGATATTTATGAGGAAACTAACTTCTTGTTTGTGATTGGTATGCAAATGATGTTTTAAATCATTTTGAAAATATTTTTCACGGATAGAAAATTATTCTTGATGTCATTACCAAATTGAACGTTTTCATAGTTTGAAGTACACATTTACTACTTAAAAAAGAGCACTTCATCATGAGTGTTATAATCTTGGGCCCATGAAGGTAGAATTGTGTTATAAACTAGATGTGGTTATGATGTTAGAGAGCCATATTCACTAGTTAACAAAGCCATTGTGATTTTTGATGTGAAAAAAAATCTATGTCCCAATGGAAGAAATAAAGAAAGAAATAAAGAAAGAAAGAAAGAAAGAAAGAAATAAATATATATATATATATATATGTGCACAAATTTCATGTATAAACATAAAAATGTCATTTATTTTAGATTATAATGTAAGCAAAAATATAGTTAGAGCTGAATATTTAATTAAGGTAGCGGTTAGTTTTCTTTCAGTTTATGTTAATTATCCCTCACCTTGCAAAAATTATGCTTCCATACAAGTTGGGCTTGAACTATTTTTTTGACGACTAGTGTACAGTTGATCATTACTTTGAAGTCATAGCGAGTGCTACGTTTGAATGTGTTGTGCTGGCGGGTACCTTCAAGGACAATCGGTTTGTTCTTGGAAAAAACAAACAAGATATAGTTCCTTGATAGCTCCATCTTTCTTGTTGCCAATCCTGCATTTGCATAGACGTAAGCGAATCTCAATTTGGCATAAGCCCAAAGTCCACGCGTGAACACATTGCGACGGCTGAGTTTGAGCCAAAAATCAAGACCACGTGAAATTGCTGAAAATTCAAGAAACCAAGAGGTGGAATTGTAGTTGCGGATTTTTATTAGGAATCTTGTCATTGAGAAGAAGGTGGTGCCCACATAAGTGTTTACAAGGGCTCAAACAAAGTGAAATCTTCCAACGACTCGGTCAATGTCATAAACTCTCACCGGATGTAGACAACATCTATATGAGAATATTCTTATTCCCTCAACTATCATTATGGGAAGTTTTGGGAGCCCAATGAACGTATATCTTCTCTTGCCAGAGGTCATCTTGAGATTCAAGCCAATGTGCCAAAGTGAAAATTTCCTTACCATGTTACTGACCTGAACATTGATTGGAGTTGATCGATCAACACCTGAACATGTTAGAGCTTTCACTGATGACAATCTTTTGTACTTGAGTTTGACTCACATGCATTTGCGCTTAATCACGACGGTGTAGTCTTGATTCAACGCATAAGCTTGCACAAATGATAGCACAACGTTCAATGTTGACTGTAAGATCTCCGACGATGAAGCAAGCCTGTTCATTTTGAAATGAGATACCTCTAACCAATCACAAATCTTCCTTTTTAAGCAATTTATATATTTTTTGTAGGTTGAAGGATAATTAGCATAAACTAAAATATAACTAGCATCTACCTTAATTATCTGTGTATTTTTATTTGAAGGTTATTGGGTATATCACAATGTAGTCATGAGACGTACCACTTAAGAGAAATACTTTGAGCTACTGAGAGTTCAACTTTTGACTTTGTAAAATAGAGCCTGGTGGTGTGATGAAGAATGAATATTGTTTGAATATGTAAGTTTTATTGATAAATGACTCTGTCTTGACTCTAATCTTATATTTTTATAATGATGAATGTAATGTCTTTGCGGGAAGTTCCTGAAAGAGAGTAATATCTATTATGATATATCTGAGGCGATACTTATCGTAATGCGATAGCTATGTGCACAACAGTTTCTTTATTTCTATCAAAGAATATAATTTCATAAGTTTTTCATGTTTGTATCATTTGATAAGAGGAAAATACATTTATTCACATGATATGGCAGTATATTGATATACCTTTAAAATGTGTGCGAGGATACTGGTTGTGAATCAAGAATGAGCTATAATAAAATCAAAACTATAAATGTGATTTATTTGAGTTTGATTTGAAATGTGTATAAATTATATGAATGCCCTAAAGTCTACGGTACTCTAATCAGTTGAAGACATGTAACTGAATACAACTATCGGCTTTGCACTATATTTAGTTTTTTCTGGTAGCCTCTTAGAAGAACTCATGAGGTAAGTTTTGAACTAATGCTGCACGGGGTTAAGTTTCCGAGCTTGGGGTATACGGCTATTAACCAGGGAGTAAGTTCGTTTGCTTAGAGTATTTAAAGCTTAGTTTAGTTATGGCGCAACTTCAAAATATTTTTTATATATCTTTTGTTTTGTGTTGATGATCAAAGTGTTCTTGTGGACATTATAGAGTGTAGTGAAGGACATATAACACTCTATGCTTTATTCGAAATCATATTTCAAATACTGATGTCTGATTGGAATTAAAAAATGATGGAAATATACCTCAGTTGGGTTCGCTATTCGTGATGTCCATACCGTGCAGCGAATTTTTAGAGTGGATGGGGTTTCAGAATCAACTAAGATTGTGATAAAAAACAGATAGATTCTCTTCGATATGTGAGTCCTATGAATATTTCCCAGAATAGAACGTGATACTGTGTATATACCAGAACAGCAATAGGCCTGCAGTAACATCAGTCTATTATACCAAACGCATACAAAACACGTCTGAAGGTGCGAGTGCCCAATAGTGATGCTTAGAGTTCAACTGATTCAAAAACTCTAGCCCTCGTGCTATTTTATTCACAGCCTTTCCTGGTACGCAATAATCGATAAACATATGGTTATGGAGACAAAAGGGGGGGCTAGGCTTGCAGCCTTCTTGCGGTGAGCTTTGACGGAGCCGAATTTCTACAGATTTGGGAGGTCATGAAACTCATTTCTAACCCAGAGTGAATGATCTCTGGGTGTCAGGGGTCCATACGGACGAGTCTCGCAGCATCGTTGGCTGCTGAGGAGGCCCTAAGACAAATTGCTCGAGCCGATTCCAATGCCAGTAAATAATGTTCGAACACAGCAACGTTTGCATATCACCCGTCCTTGTGTGTCGACGTAGAGGTTGTTATGGAAGAGCCGCACCTTCCGTGTGAGCTTTTCTCCTGGAGTACAGTACAGTACAAAGGTGCTTCCTACGGCACATGCTCCCCTGTACCCGACTCCTTCTGGCCTTCTCTGACATTTTATGGGCTCTCTTCCCGTTTTTCTAACATCTGAACCTGCTCACTCTCACTTTTCCGAAGAAAAGTGGTCGAGAGATGTGATAAGAGTGTAATGGACAATCAATAATTCTTGAGGGGGGCGCCCAACCGCCTAATCAACGCTAGCAGTTCCGCTGTTCTTAGTACTGAAATTACGCGCTTGTGATCGTCTTCCGGTTGGACTGCCGTGAAGACGGGAACGCTGAACAAGCGAGAGATGTCTGTCTGAGCACTTGCGGTGCTATATTCACACAGGAGCCGATGTTTGTGAGTGGATTGACTCCTGGGAGGCCGAGGAGTTCGTGCTTATGACAGAGTCTTGAGAGCGAATGAAAGCCAAGAGCTTCGATCAACAACCCCGCGAGTAGGACGAGCGAGAGCAGGAGAATTCACATGTCGGATGTGGGAACGAGCTGAAGGCCGTCGGTGTCCTGGCACGGGCGCAGGTAGGGCACGACATCCTGCAAGCGCTTGCCGTTAATGTCGGGGTCGGCTGGGCAAGCGAAGCTCGAAAGTGCCATCTGGTAGCAGGCGTCGGAGGACTGACCTCGCCGGCAGCTCGTCGACGAGTGCAGGTCGAAATCGATGAGCCACGGTCGGAGGCCGCCGTAGGCCTGCGCGATGTAGCCGAAGGTCGACATGGGGCTTGTCAGAATCTCGTCCGAGAGCGAGAGGATGACGAGCTCGGCGAAAGCTTGGAAGTCGCCGTCCAGGTCGAAGGCCTGGAATCCGGCGTGCGACAGCTGCAGCAGCTTCAGTGTCGCCTTGCCCGTCAGCATCTGGCGCTCGAGCAGATCCGCGTAGAACTCGCGCAGATGGCGCTGCAGCCCCGTGTGAAGCGAGGCGATGAAGATCACCAGCGGCGGCTCGTCTCTGCTACCGCCGCCGGCTGCTGGATTCAGAATGATGTCGTGCTCTCGGCCGCACGCGGTGATCCTCTCGTTCACCATGTCGTTCAGCGCGCGGTACATGCCTCCGCCATCCCTGAACCGCACTTGCAATCCCACCACTTTCCTCGACGACTGGAAGTGCGCCCTGTGCACCGAGAACACTCTGTTCCAGACCGAATCGACGGGGAGCGCGATTTGCCGAAGGAGGTGCGTCAGAGGGTCTCGATCGGGGAACAGCGCCTCCAGCGCAGGCCTGAACGAGGCCATGGCGAAGAGGTCGGGCAGGAAGTAGAGGCACCCCGAGTTCAGACTCATCCACTGCACTTGCTGCAGCCGCTGCTGGTCCTTGTCGCAGAAGAACCTCGGATTCGGCGACCACCCATCGTTGGCCTGCGCCCTGTCGAAGATCGTCGGCCCGCTCAGAAGAAGGCTCCTCCTCTTCGTCGTGCTGCGGCCGGTGGATGCATCGTCGTCGTCGTCCGCTCGCCTTTCCTCTGTCCCGTTCTTTCGGGCCATCTCGGCCATGTACGCCTTGTACGATCTTTCGTCGCGCTCCCAGGCATCCCACACTTGGAAAAAGGCGTCCGGCATCGGCCATCGCTGGGCCGAGGAGAAGGGGAAATGGGGCTGGAGTTCCCAGGACGAGCCCGGGAAGGGATCGCAGAGAAGCTGGTGAATTGTGTCCCGGGTGTCGATTAGAAGCACTCTCTGCGTCAGGAGGGCGTATAAGTAGGCCGAGGCCAGCCAGAGGAGGCGGTTGCCCACTCCATACACTCCGAATTCCACCACCAGAAACTTGCAATCGTATCGATTCGCTCGCTGCTCGTAAAGCTCTAAGACATGAGTCATGTTACCGCCACGGGTGCACGTCCTGTGAAGGTTGGAGTACTCTTGAAACAGCAGGTGCAGCTCGCCCGATGGCTCCCGAGGTGCTCTCTTGGTCGACCCTTCCTTCCTCGTCAGCCACAACGAGCGCAGCTGGTCTCGACCATGGCACGGACACACCGACTCCCATTGCTGCCTGTCCTCGTCTGACAATGTCGTGCCCGGCACCCCGCCAGCTACCTGCACAGCTCTACGAGTTTTCTCTAAGAGCGACCACGCTGCACTGATCCCCGTCCCCGTTCCCTCGCCCTTGTCCTTGCCATCGCTGTGATGATGCCCATCCGCATCTACCTCGGGCACGAACGTGGCTTCGTGAGAGGTTGCCTGAATCTGCCAGTGCTGCGATAGCGCAGCGGAAACCGCTACGTACACGAAGAACACGGCCAAGATCAGAGCCACCAGCCGTTTGAACGACCACTTGGAACTCGAATGGCCTCCTCCTCCTCCTCCTCCGACTCTGTCGTAGCAGCAGCAGCAGCTCAGTTGCTGAAGCTTCGAGATCGGCATCCTTGCACATGACCAGCCGAGTATCCTACATGATTGTGTTATTGGCCGTAGAAATCAGAGGAGTCGACGTCGCCGACGACGACGATATCTCGTTTACTTACTGGCATGATACTTCGTGCTGCAGCTGAAACAGAGTCCAATGAACCCACCTCGTTAGCAAATCTCTGGATGTCGACCTTTCACCAGATTCGCGAGGAGGCGCGTGGCGACAGAAATTCACGAGCTGCGAGCTCGATCCAGACATTGTTGCGGATCACCTAAACCCACTGTAAACCTCGACAGGCACCCGAACCCCAAATGCCCCCTCATGGTGACTCTGCCATTCAGGTGATCATGCTGTGGATCTGGAAATCCATTCGGCCGAAGAAGTGTGCCAAGAAGTGGAGACGGAGGGTGTGTGACCTTCGGTCGAGTTGGCTGCAGCAGACGATACGAGAGACCACGGTCCTCGAGCCTGCACAAAGAGTCCGGTCTCGAGGACTGAAGGATCGAAGTGGGATCCAGCCACGTCCATACCCTGTCCACTTTTCCAAATTTCTCGGGGGCTCCGGCTTCCTGCCCGCAGACCTTACCTCCAGACCCCCAGTAGAAACTCGGATCTGGACACTGCCACTCCTACGTTTGGCCCCAACGTCGAGAGGAGCCAGCACGCTACGACGAATTCCTTAAGAGCGATCGAGCGAGTGAATGAAGGTGCAGAATCTCGATTTCTCACCGCGAATCAGTCGGACTGCTGGAAATCAAGTGGACAAACTAACCTGGCGCTGCCGGAAAGCACCTTCCAAACCCTGATGGAGCAAAATTTCACATGAACCTTTCATACTCACTAAAGACAGAGCAGCACTCGAAGGATTCAACCCCAAATACCCCCTTCCTTTCGACTTCTGACAAAATTGGAAGGTCGTCCTGACCACACGGAACCAACCATCGAGAGTCTAGAGGATTGACCCGGTGTTCGCCCACACCGATGTCCTCTCACATTTCTCAATCACCAATGTTCATCAGAAGCGCTACTTAACGCTCATGCCTGCCGGAGGCATGGCTTCATGTCTTGTCGTGTTGCACGGGCAGGCGAAACTCACACCTACAAACAACCTACTGCCACTGCTACTGCTTCCATGTACAGTTGTAGCTCCCACCTGTACGCTCGGTGTTATCTGATTATTTTGGATCTCTGTCCACGAGTTTTTTGTTGTTGCTTTAAGTATTATTCAGCATATGCAAGGTCCGGTTCATCACATGAGCATAATTTGTAAGAGTAGTCAATGGTGGGTGGACCTTTGAACAGCTCTGCGGAATCAGCACAAATTCGCAGTGTCCCCGTCGAGATCGAGGAACGGAATATTTTATGTGGACTTTGGGTGTCACGGGGGATTCGAGAGGTGACACGTTTTTCTCTTGCAGTCGAACAGTCGACATCTTCCTGTTGATACCGTTCGAATGAGGGAGGCGTGCGTCGAGTCGTGGAATTTCTTGGCACAAGGAGTGAAGGTTATGAAGATGTGATCATTCGAAGCAAAAGTGGGCCAGATCTCGTAATCATAATGAGTGCGCTAAAGAGATGTTCAGAGTTTGACCGTATTTATACTTCTGGACCCCAAAAGTTGTGCTACTATGATGGAAGTCAACTTTCTCATGGGAAACAGAAGTCTCGTAAGCTAGAAATCAACTTTGTTGAACATCCTTTATGCTTAAGATATCCATTGCGAGCAAGAGGTTTGATATGCCAGTGAAATATTCAATGGCATCATCATCATCATATAGCTTACATCACATTGTGACTCACTTAACTCTCATTTCATTTCAGTTTAAGTGTTAAGGGTTTGACTTCAAAGCTTATGCAAAACTCACCGTGGAATTCCTCCACCACTTCAGAACTTTCTCTATCATGCCGATACAATCTGCCCTCTCTGCATGTTTGAAGTCGGGAGTAATATTCTCCAACCATGGTAAATTCTTTGGAATAACTGTATCGAAAATCAGAAAACCGTATTTAGTAATGGATTGATATTTTTACAACAACAGTTTAGAGTCTTGTATGTCATGTGTCTTCATATTTGCTATTTTTTCCAACGGTCTAGGATTATGAATCTAATGGTGTAGGGTCGGAGAAACTCGATGAACTGTTAGTTCTTCGAGTTGAGCCGTTAACGTTGGGTATAGTGTTCACTGGGTTGGCTATGGTGACCGTAAGCTTCGACCAGGATTTTCTAGTGAATGAGTGGATTGGACTCAACTTTTGAGTGATGTTCGTGTTTTAAAGCAGTGGGGTTAAAACAATTTGATTTCACTCAAAGAACTCATTGCTCTTACGTTTACGGAAGTTTGGAGCAAATTGATATTTGTTAAATTATGGATTGAACACGGTGATCAAGCCCGAGGACGATGAGTAGTGTCCGTTGGTCATGGTTGGGCGGTGAGTGACAAAAGACGTCCGAGTGGAATTCGCATGTGCCCGGTAGAGAAGATGACATATGCAATTTAGATCCAAAAGTAGCAGGATGCACAAAGACTCTCTCTCATGTATAATTCTGCGAACAAAGTCTGTTCATGATTTCAGTTATGATAGTTTACAAAATACTACTTTGAAGAACAATTTTTTTTTATTTTGCTTGAAGTCGAGCCAAAGTAAAAGCCTCAAAATCAGATGGAGAAGTAGATGGTAAGAGCACAAGTAGTTTGTAGATCCCACTTGAACCTTTAGAACCTGAAGATAGTGTCTGAGTTACTCTGCAGTTGAAGATGAAGATACGATCTTCTCGTTCATCTCCTCCACATTTAGATTACATCCAAAATTGAACATCTGTACATTTTTTGATGAATGAGAGACTTCAATGTTATGATGTCATAGCGACATTGTAGAGTCTCGTCATTTACGTAGTTATTGCTTCTAAATTCAACAAGATCTTAGATTTTGTGAAGTACTCTGATTTATAGCGAGACGTAGATCTGGAGGATGGAAAGAAGTGGTTGAACATCATGCATTACAAGTAATTCTTCAATGTAGTGGTTCTTCTGTTCTCATCCACGAATTAGAAATACTCTTATGTACAACTTGAACGTGATAACTTGAAGTAGTTTCTGAAGAGAGAACCCTTGGGTGATACTCGCAGCTGAGTTGTGGTTTTCTGCGGCGCTGCACTAGAGCTTAATAACCATTTGGACTTCCGGATTGACAAAGTCTCCTCACCTATTATCATCAAGAATAAGGTGTTGCATGTTGTAGGAGTGCCAGTGCTAATAGTTTTCATTCAACTTCGTGGGTGGACTCTATCATTTTCTACTCCAAGATTGTGCATTGGTGGAGGCGAACATAGGTTTTTATATTTTCTGACTCGGCTTATGACTCGTAGTCCTCAGTCATGTTCAACTGTCTAGGTAATCTTAGTTTATGAGTAACTTTAGTTAGTAAGTACCTTCAATTTTATTGGATCAGTATTATAGTCAAAGTTTGCACTAGGAATCTTTCTAAACTGTGCATTGTTTCTAGTTGCGGAAGTGTGAAGATAGTATAGAAGAAAGTGAACATTTGCAATTAGGTGAGTTCATTCTTAGAGTAGAGTTGAAGAATTGACAAAACTTATACTAAGTGCAATCGAGAAAAATAAGAGAAAAAAAGGAGAAGTTTATTAGAAAGTTATTTTGAAGTTGCAACCGGTCTCACCCACTATAGACTTGAGGTTTTGAGAACTTTGTATATATATATATGACATTGTTAAAAACATATTAAGCTTTAATTGTTTAGTGTGTTTGTTGAAGTGGAGTGTTATTTTGGTGAAAGAGGTTGCATTGTAGACATAAGAGTTAGAAGTTGATAGGGGGCGATGAAGATTGAATCGGAATCGCTACATGATGCGATGTTTCGTGTGTGTTATGTCGTTTTGTGTGGTGTTTTTTTTTTACTGGATAGTGCTTCCTAGTTGCTTGCTTGTGTTTGGATACTCTTTATTTTTGCTTCTTGATGTAACCATCTTTAGTTAGTTAGAACTAAAGTAGAGATTACTCTAAATATTTATGTAGATACTTTAGTGTGCACTAGTCATAGTTGCCACGTAAGCGATCCGCGCACTTGGTAGGTACAGAGTGGATGTGTTAGTTGACAGTGTCATGTCAGCAATCCGTGTGCTTGTAGGTAAGGATTGAGTGTGTTAGTTAGTGTGTTAGTTGGGTGCGCCACGTCAGCAATCCGTGTGCTTGTTAGGGTTATCTGCCACGTCATCCATCCACTAGGAGTGGTATGGATGGTGGGGATTAGATCTTATCATCTTGTACTTGTTGGTGAGAGCTATATAAGGGAGAGGAGAACCATTTTTGGTATCTCTCATCTTTAGAGTTTACGTTTCTATCTTCGAGTGAGCTTCTCTCTAAACCCTAGTGTTACAATAGTATTAGAGCGGCATTGCTCTTTCCTTGAGTGTAGATTACCCCTCATGGAATAGCAAGTGATTGATGATGGAGTGTAGTCTTGAGAGTGTATAGAGTCTGGCAGAGGTCATTCATCTGCATGTAGAGAGAGGTGTAAAGGGAAAATTGTGTTTTTGCAGATATTGACGGGATTGACAGGAATCCAGTACCGCACTGACCAATTCCTAACCTATTCGATATTCACCTTCGTTGCATGGAGAAACATCATTTTCGGATGTACCTTGTGGCTTGTTGGGGTGTAGATTTTATGACTGGAGTGATGGAGTCAAGAGTGCCACTGATTCTTCCAATAGTTACTTATGGAGAGACTTGGGATTATACTATATACATTCTATACTGATTGTTTCATGGATTTGAATCGCGAACCACCTGTCCCGGTTCGATTCAGCACTTATGTAGAGATTAGAACTGTATATAGACAGAAGAGTATATGGAGAGATTTTCTTGTGAGGAATTATGGAGAGGATTACTATAGAGCTGTGATAGAGTCACCTGCACCTTTTGTGACTCATTTGTTGAGAGGTCACATAGTGATTATACTGACTTTGTATTAGAGGGAGTGTGAGAAAGCATGGGGACATTAATTGATATGGGTGAGATTCTCAATGCAATCATGGCGGAGATGAAGGAGTTGAGAAAAACGATAGTAGATGGGCATATCAAGCAGCAAGCCATGGAAGATAAAATTTTCGCATTGGAGAGTGAGAAAATAGAGAGAGAGAGAGTTGGAGAGATGGAAGTTGAACCCCAAGTTCAAGCTTCCCAAGTTCAGTTAGAACCAACTCCTATTGATACAGCAGAGGCAAATAGGAGACGTCTTCAAGAGATTGAAGATCAAGCAAATCTTTTGCTTCGAATGGAAAAATCCTGTAAGGTGGAAGCTTACAAAAAGAGTAGAGCAATGGGAGTGTTAGAGTGATGGATTATGAGGATGAATATTCATTTATCCCATTTCCATGTTTTTGATTATATTGCACGAATGTTCATGAGATCTTATCTTAAGGATAAGGCTCTCACATGGTACACAACATGGGAGAGAATGCTCTTAGAAGGAGGTGTTACCATTTCGTGGAGTGGAATGCAGAAGAACTTCGGAAAAATTTTCAAGCGGTGGATTCTCTTCAAACTGCAAGAATGAAGTTGTGGGATCTGAAGCAAAAAGGAGGTATTCATGAGTACATTGAACAATTTCGTGATCTTCAAGTATCTATCATGGATATGAGTGGAGCTGAAGCCTTGGACGTGTTCAAACGAGGCTTGAAGGATTGAATTCGAAAGGAGGTGATAGTAAGCAATCCATCTACTGTGAATGAAGCAATCGCAATTGCTCAACGAATTTCGGGTGCTTTTGGTGTCACACACGGTGAACCAATGAGCAATTTTTGAGATCCATCTGGTCGATGGAGTTGGAAAACCTTCGACGTAGAGAAGGTTTTGCACCAACAAGAGGATCACCACCAAGATTTGGAGGTGAGATTAGGCGACTAGGAGTTCCAAATTTGCAAGAAGGTTATGCAAATAATGGAATGGTTCGAGGAGGAGCTGAAG